GGGGTTCACAGACACTCAAAAGAGTCCACGGAGAGATTTTAGGAGGTCTGTGATCTTGGATAGACAAAAAAAGTTACATCAACATGATCATTTCCCTTTCTAATCTTATTTACTTTATGCATTTAAAAAGACAATTCTGAGAAGAGATCCATAGACTTCCCAAGACTGCCAAAGGGGTCCAGGGCACCGAAAAGGTTAAGAACCCAAGCTCTAAGGTGACCTTCCATCTACTCTGTAGGCACATTGCATGTACCCGCTCATTTACATCAGAATGTAAACGCTCAGTGCCTAGTGGTACATTCTTAATAAAGTGAATTGGTTGATTGATTCATGACACAACTCCCATTCTGTAGTCAAGGTGTGAGTGTGATTACTAGCTCTTCCTTTATTTGCCCTTTCTCCGATGCTGTTTCCTCAGTTGGGTGACAGAGTCACCATGGACTGTGGCAAGTTTCACACTTAACCGGGCCTGAATCCACCTCACTTTATTACCATCCAGCTGGGTCACGAAAAGTCAGACATGACTGAAAATAAGTGAACAAGAGTGAAAAGCGCAACCCTCTTTCTTGTTAATAAATGAGACAATGTTAACTTCATTAACCTTATTAATTCCCAGCCTGCACCTCTCTCTCTTTTGTCTCTGAGGACGTCATGGTAGACTTGATCACATGCCTTGTGAAGATGCCCTTCATCTGACAGTATAACATCACATTAAAACTAAAATGATAGCCCAGTGACTTGTCCTTCACGAACATATGCTGGCTTGCAGGGGTCGGCCCTTTCTAATTACTCACAGTCCACTGCCGTGCAAACTGCCTCCCTTGACTGTGGCCCTGTCACTAACTTTGATCCTTCTTTCTTCCTTATTTTCCCTCCACCTTCCAAAAATCAATTGATAGTTTTTTAAAAATAATTTTTGTCTTTATATTATAGTTATTTCTGAATATTTTTCTCCCTTACCACAAGAGCCTCTTGTTATAACAGAGTTAGGGAAAAAAAGTTAAAAAAAAAGTTCAGCAAAATTAACCAATATTGTGCATTGTAACAGACAGTTAACAATCAATGCTGTTCATTTTGCCTCTGTGACATCTCATCTCCCTTTTTGTCTCTTTCCCACTGTAAGGGACGACCTTGTTACAGGACCCATTAACACCCCCATGGACTTTTGCAATGGTGATTCCCTGGTGTTCTGCCTCTTCTCTCTCCCCTCTCCCAGCTGTCCTGTCTGTCTGTGTTTGATCTTCTTCTCTGTGCATGTCATTCCAAAGATCAGAAAACTTCATATGGTTTCCCATTTCGGATTTTTCTGTCTGAAATTCAAGACCTTCCACCATCTGGTCTATACTTTTCCAGTCTTATCTCCTGTGATTTCCCTCCAGGAACTCTGTTCTAGGTTTGAACTGGACTGTTCTCAGTCCTCCATCCATCCCTCATTCCAGATAAACCCTTCACTCTTATTCCCCTGCTAACTTTGCTGACATGGCTTCTTATGTCTAGAAAAACCTCCTTCTTCACCAGTTTCATTCGTATCCATTATTTAAAGACCAACTCAAATGCCTCCTTTAAAAACTTTACCTGATCTTTCCTAGTGAGTGCTAACCTTTGGAGTTTACAGAAAATTTCCTCTTAAAACCATCTGTTGCACGTATTCAATATTGTACATTTAGGATATGTGTTTGTGCTGCTTGTCAGACTATAAACTCCTTTGGGAAAGGACTGTGTTTTATCTAAATTCTGCATTTTATCTCCTTAGCAATCAAATGTTAGCTCCAGATCACCAGTGAGTGTGATCCACACAAGAGGGCCTTGATAAGTGTATGCTATGTCATGCTTTTTAGCCTGAGGGTTCTTGGTAGAGAAACTGAAAAACTACTTTATTCTGGATTTGAGCACTGTTTGTCATAAATTATCATCTTCTCTAACCAAGTGGAGCTCTTACCTCTTTCTTGGGCATCTTTTTGCTTTCAGGCTAGCTCAAAAGGTTTTTTAGATTGTCCTTAGCATTCTGGGTTCGTGGTTCCCCATATCAGTTGAGAACTGTATCAGTCTTTTGTGATTGTCCTCAAATGCTGTTTCTCAGTTCTGACTTCTGCATGTGTCTCTTAAAGGTCTGCGCTGGCCAGTGAGCTCTCTGATACACTGGATGTGGCTCAAGCCAGCTTCCCTTCTTATTCCTCAAGAGAAATGCTTATTTGGTGTCACAAATTTCAGTCCTGATTGCCTCCCAGCCCCCTTTAGACAACTTGCCCAGAAGAATCTTAGGCTAAAAGATGTTAGCTGTTGTTAGTCTTTGTAATCTACTCTCTTCTTATTTGGGGTATGATTTGGACTTTTGTGGCCCTAGGTGTATGCTGGCAAATGTTTAACAGCTCTCTCCAAAAGCGCAGCCCATTTTAAGGTTGAATGATCAACATTTTCTCCATTTTCTCAAGTCCAGAAATCAACAAAACAGTAAATCAAAGTCCAGGTTTAAAAGGGCAAATGCTCACACTGAAAAGCAACGCTCTCAATAGCTGATTCTAGTGCTTAGCGCAGTGACCGCATATAGTAGGTGCCTAATAAATGTTGATGATGTTGATTGATTGGACTGGCTCCAGCACACCCCTGTTTGTCTCGCCCCTTTTTGATCTTGAACTTTAAATGGAGGGATCTTGTTTTCTGTCTGAGTATCTATCCCTGTCTTAGTCTACCTCAGTCTCAGGGTCTGTGTTTTGTGTGTTCCTCAAGCAAAGACTGGTAATGGTGGAAAGTATCCAGGATTGGGGCAACTAGGTGGCATAGTGAATAGAATGCCAGGCTTGGAATTAGGAAGACCTGAGTTCAAATCCAATCTCAAACTCCTTCTAGCTGTATAACCCTGGGCAAGTCACTTAACCCTGTTTACCTCATTTGCCCCATCTGTAAAATGAACTGGAAAAGGAAATGGCAAACCACTCCAGTATCTCTGCCAAGAAAACCCCGGATGGGGTCATGGAGAGTCAGACGTGACTGAACAACAAAAATAACAACAAATCCAAGCCTGGAGTGTAGTGGAAGGAGTCGAGAGGACCTGGGTCTGAGGCCTGGCTTTGCTGCTTGCTGTGTGACATAGAGCAAGTTACATGTCCTCTCTGGATCTCACTTTCCTCATCCAGTAAAAAAAAAAAGGCAGCTGGACTGGGTAACCTACAAGGTTGTTTAAGGTTCAGTCAGAAGGCCCAGCAGGGCACTGCAACTATGGAACCCAGAAATGTTCAACTGAGTTGCGTCTGTTTGTGTCTTTGTTTGCTGGAGGAGGGATCGCTGTTAGCCCCATCACACCCGTATGGAGCATTACAGCTAGTTTGAGGCTTGTCCAGAGGAGGGTAGGCAGAACCATGAGGGGCCAGAAAGGGCGCCATAGAAGCATCCCATGAAAAGAGCCCAGAGGTCAGAGAGTAAGAGGTGCTCAGAGACAGACAGCAGCCCCACAGAACTTCAGTGGGTGTGTTAAAGGTGGCTGTGGCTTGAAGGATCTTGGTTATGTCTCAGAGTAGCGTGACTGCAAATCTTCTACATCAGAGCCAAGGCACAATCTGCAAGGGGCAGTGCACGTTTGCATTTGCAGCCCTTCCTGTGACGATATCCTGAGGTCCCTTCTTAAGGTTCAGCATGATACTTCCCTGTATTCAGAACTGGATACAGCATGTTAGGGATGTGATGGTGAGGAGGGCAGTCCTAGGAGCAGGCAGGGACATTCCCTGCCCGGTTTCACAGACATCCCTGCCTGCTTTTGGTCCTCAGAGCATGTACACATGTTCTTTGCGGCAGGAACAATGTTGATGGAAAGGAGTGCTTCCAAATATGACCAGCCAGGATGTTGAGAAGATAAGAGACCGTTATCTATGAGGACTGGCTTCAGTAACTGGGGATGTTTAAGACTGGAGAAAAGAAGACTTCCACAGGACACGATTGACTGTCTTCTAGCATTGGAAAGGCCGTTGTGTGGAATAGATTTTAGATTTGTATGTGGCTGCAGAGGGCAAGAACCAGGAGCAGGTGGTGAAAGTTGTAGAGGCAGATTTCAGCTTGATTTCTGGGAATAAACAAACTGAACCAAACTTAACAATGAGGGCTATCCAGAAGTGGAGAGGGCTGCTGTGCGGTTTCCTAGGATCCTAGCTAGAACCTGGAAGCACCTGAGAGGGTGTCTGATCCCAACCCCTCATTATCCAGATGAGACCCAAAGACAGGCCTTGACTTCTCCGAGGTCACAAGGTCACACAGGTCAGTGACAGAGCTGGGATTCTGAGTCTTCTGACAGACCGGATGTCCTCTGTGCTGTTCCATAAAGAGGCAGGTAGTGAGTTCCTCATCACTCTGCCTTCAAGCAGAAACTGGCCACTTGGCAGGACGTTGGAGAGAGGATTCTAGCTCATGTATGAGCTGGACTTAGATGATCCGCCATCTTTAAGAGTCTTTGAAACACTTATGCTGCGGTCCTTATAGAGGATCACCCCCAAACCCTGGAGATCGAAAGCCAGAGGGGTGGTGATTGGTTCTATGGTGAAGAGGTAGACTTGAGCTCAGGTCTGCCGACTCTGCACTATGCCCAGGTCCAGTGCTGTCTTCTCTACCCCAGGGGTGCGTAACCTGGGTCTATAAGACAGATTTCAGGGAGTCCGTGAGCTTGGATGGGAAAAATGACAACTGTTAATAGCTAATAACTAAAATTTAGTTTTCTACTGAATTATGAATTTAAAAAAAAGTTATTCTGAGGAGTCCTGCCCTTTACTGGCCTGCCAAAAGCCCTCAGAAACCCTGCTCGACCGTGCGTTACTCTCCCTGTGTCTGCCCTGGCACCTTCTGGAGTCTGCTTCCTAGTTGCTGTGTTCTTGTGCTGTTGCACAGGCTAGGTTGCTTGGGGAGGACAAGGTCCCTTTTTTTCAAGTAGAGACTGGGGATGCCTTGGAAGGGAATCCTGTGAGGAGGAAGGGTGTGGGACTAGAGCACAGCTGAGGCACCTTCTCTGTCCTTAGGATCTATGATCCTATGGCTCCTGCCCTCATCCCCTTGAGGAGGACAATAGCGTACCTGGCGGCCCTGTGGACGTCCTTGTTCTGCAGACTGTAGATGAGCAGGTTAAGCAGTGGAGTGACCACAATGTAGAAGACTGTTGTGAGCTTGTGGTGCCCAGCTGGGGTGGGTCCCTTGGGCCTCAGGTACATGGCCATCACGGTTCCATAGAAGAGGCTAACCATAGCCAGGTGGGCTCCACAGGTGGAGAGAGCTTCGCGGCGGCCCCAGGCAGAGGGGAGGCACAGGGCAGTGGCCGAGATGAGACCATAGGAAGCCAGAATGCAGCCAAAGGGCCCCAGAAGAATGGGGACACCCGTGGCATAGACCAGGGCCCGATTGGGGGCCGTGTCAGCACAGGCCACCCTCAGAACTGCTGGCAGTTCACAGAAGTGGTCAATTGGTGGGCGCCCGAAGAAGTAAGGAAGGTGTACAGCGGCGGCAGCATTGTGCAGAGACAGCAAGAAGCCTAGAGCCCAGGCACCGCCTGCCAGACCCCCACAAAGACCTGGAGTCATGATAGCAACATAGTGAAGGGGCCGGCAGATGGCCAGGCAGCGGTCAACAGCCATGGAGGCCAGGAGGAGGGCCTCAGTGCTGCCCAGAGAGAGGGCCACGTAGAGCTGAGTGCCACAGCGGGCCAAAGGAGATGGGCAAAGCAGGGAAGGCCTTCCTTATCTCTCTCCTAAAATCCCCAGCTTTTTCTCAAAGCCCTCCTGCACTAGGCGTTCCCTGATCCCCTCGAGCAGGGAGCACACTTGGTACCTTGTATGTAATCACTTGTGTGTATAGATTGTGCTGCCCTCACACACATGGGAACCCTATCCCCAAGAAGTGGCAGATGTGACTACCGAGCTGCTGTCTGCAATCTTGGAAAGTGGAGAATGGGAGAGGTGCCCCAAGACTGGAGGAGGCTAAACACTGGCCTCTTCTTCAAATGATGGAAGAGGATGGAGTCAGGAGACTCTATGCTTGTGAGCTCAACTTTGCTTTGTGGCAAAAGTTCTCGACTCTATAATTAAAGGGATGGTGAGCAAACACATGGAAAAGGAAGCAATCGTCACCAACTAATCGAAAGCAGGCTATGCCAGACTGACTGGATTCGCTCTTGTGCCAGGCCTGCTGGGCAGGTAGAGCAAGGAAGTGGCACTGGTATGGATTAACTCTGTTTTCAAAAATCATTTGACAGAGACTCTCCTACCTCTCTCACGGACAAAACAGAGACGCTAGCTAAATGTTAATACAGCCATGGATTCTGACATTTTCTGAATGACTAGACTCAGCGTCATCATTAGTGATCTGATGTCAGCTTAGAAGGAGGTCTGTCAAGGAGTGTTTCAGAAATCTGTGTTTGACACTTTTCATTTAACATTTTAATAATGACTTGGATTAAAGTGTATATGGCAAGCTTATGACACAGAGTTGGGTTGGATAGCTACCATGTTGGATGGCAGAGAAGGAATCCAAAATATCTTGAGAGCTTTTTTTTCTTTTGTAAGGCAATTGGGGTTAAGTGACTTGCCCAAAGTCACACAGCTAGTAAATGTTATGTATCTGAAGTCAGATTTGAACTTGGGTCTTCCTGACTCCAGGGCTGGTGCTCTATCCACTGTGCCACCTACTTGCCCCCATATCTTGAGAGTTTAAAATGTTGGGTTGAAACTAACAAGATGCGGGGCAGCCAGATGGTGCAGTGGTTAGAGCACTGGCTTTGGAGTCAGGAGGACCTGAGTTCAAATCTGGTCTCCAACCAGACACTTGACACTGACAAGCTGTGTGACCCTGGGCAAGTCACTTAACCATAATTGCCTTGCCAAATTAAAAAAAAAAGAAACTAACGAGATGAAATCTAATCAGAAGTACATAAAAGCTAACTTTGGAAGCACATGACGGGAGAGGCACAGCTAGAAAGGAAAATATTTTTCTGAAAACTCCCTGCATTATTTATTGAATTACAAGCTGAATATGTGATAACTATGGGTTGTTGTTGTTCAGTCAGTTTTTCAATCATGTCCAACTTTCCATGACCCCACTTGGGGTCTTTTCTTGGAAAGTATGCTAGAGTTGTTTGCCCTTTCTGCAACTCATTTTACAGATGAGGAAATTGAGGCAATGGTGTTAAATGGTTGCATCAGGGTCACATAAGTAAGAAATGTCTGAAGCCAGATTTAAACTCACAAAGACGACTCTTCATGATTCCAAGCCCAGTCTCTATCCACTGCACTACCTAGCTGCCCATGGTGATCATGGGACATGCAGTGAAAACAAATACACACACACACACACACACACACACACACATATATATACACACATATATATACATATATACATGCATATATATATATATTTATATATATGTATCTTAGACTCTATTCAGAGGAATGTGCAAGACTAGTGAGATGCTGCTGCTTCTGCTGGACCTTGCCTTGATCGATGTGCACCTGGAGTATTACGTTCAGTTCAGGTGCCACATTTTAGGAAGCATTTTGACCAACTGAAGAATGTGCAGAGGAGGACATCTAGGGTGTCTCCAGCTCATGACGTACGAGGAAGTATTGAATGATTTGGGATGTTTGGCTTGGAGAAGAGGAGATTTTTCTTTCTTGAGGGGAAAGAGAGACCATATAATGTTTTCAAGCATTTATTTGAGTGACTGCCATGTGGAAGAGACTTCTTCTTAGCTTCAGGAGGCAGAACTTGGCATATGTTGTAACTGGGCAAATTTAGGCTTAATATAAGGGGAAAAAAAGAAAGAAACCTTTTTAACAGCTGGTTCTAAAAAAGTAAAATGGGCTACCTTTGGATGTAATGAGTTTCCTCTTACTGGAGGTCTTTGGCTAAAGGCTCGATCACCCCGTGTCCAGTCGAGCTAGAGGGTATTCTTTTTTCCAGGTATGGGTTGTACTCGTTGCTCACTGACGTGTCTTTTCTGACTTTGAGATTATCTCTGGCTCCCTGGTCTTTCCCTCTTCCAAGCCATGGCTTCGCTACACCACCAAAATCGCCTTCTTAATGCACAGGTCTAACAGGCATGACACAGTGGAAAGAGTATTGTCTCTAGGGTCAGAGGTCTTGAGTTCAAATCTGCCTCTGACACTTCCCCGTATGACCTTGAACAAGTCACTGCACTTAATGAATGTCTTCACAAAAGAACCAATCTAGGAGGGGAGGATCCTCAGATTTTTTGGTCAAAACAGAAACAATTGCTATTTAGACTCATTATGAGTCATCAAAACCCAAAGAATGAGCAAGTGAAGCTTTGGGGGGACCTATTATTGGCCAATAAGTGAAAGCCAAAGTGATTTGAGTTTAAAAGCATAGTCAAGTAGAACTATCTGAATCCCAACGGGCTTAGCAAAGCCTGGTTTTCCAGAGCTATAGTTCAAGAAATCATAAATGAAAACTACATGAGATTAAAAAAAATAATCATCCCAGTTTTTTGAAAAAAAAAAGAATAAATAAGTAGGGGAAAAAAATCAATTCCCACAAGCCCAAAGATAACTTCTGAAGTATACCTCATCAAAATTTCTAGTAGACTGGAGCTGAAAAGCCTAGTGGAAGGACCTGAATAGCAAGGAGGAGCCAACCAAGCAACTCATGGCATGAGACCATTGGGAGACTATGGTACAAAACGTAAGTGACACTACATCCCTAGGAATCCCCAGCAGTCACCATGGGGCAATTTGTAGCGAGTAGCCATGCCCAGGGAGGAGCAGGCATAGTGAGAGCATTGTGCCCCAGCTGAAAGGTGGGGTGGGTGAACGTCAGAAATATGAAATCAATCTAGAATGGTAGGTGGCTGCCATTTTGTGCCAGAATGAGGAGTTTGTGTCTCATCCTGGAGGCAATTGGGATAGTAATTTGGGGGCAGGGAAGTGACATTGGTTAGACCTGTATATTGGCAAGATACATTTGCCAGCTTGTGGAAGACAGATTAGAGAAGGGATTCAGTGAGGGAAAGAAATCAGGAAGCTATGATAATATTCCAGGTGAGAGGTAATGGGGACCGGAAGCAGGGCAGTGTGAATGGAGAGCAGAGGTTTTGAAGTGACATATGTTTTGGAGATCAAAGTGGCAAGACTCTCACCTCATTTCTCTGCTCTTCCCATTTCCCCTCCACATCTTCTCAAAATCCCCACAGATCCCAAATATGCCATTTACTCTAACACATGTACATTCCCTAGGCATGTGATTGACTCCTTTGAATAAAGCCCTGAAGGGTTTTTTTGAATGGCACAAATGCTATGTGGGAGAAGGACCATATCAACTCCTTAATGCCTAGTCACGTCTTAGCATGCATTGATTTCTTAGTTTAGTGGTCCATAGAACATATAGAACGTTAGAGTTTTAAAATATTCTTGGAACACAGAAGATGGGCCGCTAGAAAAGAGGGGACTCTAAAAACATGGGATGCAGAAGGTCAGAGCTCTTGAGAGGCATCAGAACAGAGAATGTTAGATCTAGAATCTAAAATAAACCATTGGCCAACAATAATAATAATAAAAAAAAATCCCTCAGAAAGTGGAATGTCTGAGCTTGGAGGGTTCTGTCAGAGCTGGCAGGGGCCTGCATCTGGTGTAACTGGCTTTTGTAATAGTGGAAACAAACCCAGAGAGCTGAGAGTTGCCCAAGAGGAGCATTTGATTCCCCACTGAATTCCATGAAGTCTTGTGTCTCTTCCCTCATTTCTCCTGCCAGGTACCTTGGCCCCTACCTCACTCTCCTTGATTCTGTTGATCTGTTCTGCCCTGATAATTTGACACTCCTTTAGTCTCTCCCCCACCCCCACCCCGACTCCAGCATTAGACAGCCAGATTTCCTCTGCCACACGTTAAATGTCTCTTTGGTTGAGCATCTCCCATCCTGATGCTTCCTGACAGAATCATAATTGTACATTTAGGAAGGATTTACTAATTATAAAGAGAAGCCTGAAGTCTATAGCATGTACAACTGTTGGCTTTTTTGATAATAGCAACATGTTGTAGACAGCCTATGTTTACATGGCAGGGAAGTGACTGAACACGTCGTGGCCTGTGAACATTCCATTGCCCCTTCATTAATGGGGAAAAAGTCAAGAACAAAAAAGACATGGGAAATATTATGTGAAGTGCTGCAGACACAGTGGCATGCAATGGAAAGGACACCGGATTTCAAGTTTTAGGACCCAGGCTCTAATTCTGGCTTTGCTGTTTACACCTGTGTGAACTAAGACAATCGATTCATCTCTCTGGACATCAGTTTTCTCATGTACAAAATGATAGGATTAAATTAAATGATCTCTTATTTCTCTTTCAGTGTTTAATCTATGACCATCCATCCAACTGTCCATCCATCCATCCTTGGTCCATCAATCTATTCAGTAAGAATTTATTAAGTGCCTGCTATGGGTTAGGTACAATAAAATGAACTTAGGAATCTCTGATTTCCTAGTTGCAGTTACCATTCCACAGAAGTAGACTTTACCTTTTCCCCCATCATACTTGGTGGTCTTCACGAGTTGCTATGGCCATTTTTTGGCTTGGCGGCCCAGCTTTTGGTGCTTGAGCCTCTTAGATTGCTGGGCTGGCCTTCAGATGAGAGAGCTGCAGTGTCTCCTGGCCCTGTGATCACAGGACTTCCATCAGGCTGGGGCTGCCCGATT